AAAAGAAAATATAGAACCAAAAAGAGAAATGCCTCTAATTTAAAAGTTCCAACATGTATCAATTTCTCCTTCCTACAGATTCATTTACCTGGATATCATTTCTCTCACCATACTTCACTCCCTAATTTTTATGGTCATTTTACCATATACAGTTGACTTTCACTATTCACAGATTCTATAGTTGTGAATTCAACTACTTGTCAACATTTGTAACTCCAAAATAAACACTCATGGTGCTTTTATGGTTATTTGTAGACAGTATTTACTGTGGTAAAAAAGTTGAGTCTCCTAACACAATTCATTCTCAGATGAGGGGCTGAGCACCGGGACGCTCTGCCTTCTTGTTTCAGCTGTTTCATTGTGAGACAAATGTCCTTTTCAGGGCTACATAGTATCTTTATTATTATTATTATTGTACTTTCTGTTGGTGATTTAATAGTTTAAAATGGCCCCAAAGCACAGTACTGAAAAGTTCTGTGTAGTGCTGCTATGCACAATGAGGCTGTGACGTACTTTAAGGAGAAAATATGGTCAGCTTCATTCAGGGACAGTTACTGTGCTCTTGGCCATGAATTCAATGTTAATGAACCAACAATACATATGAAAGTGTCGTTAAACAGAAACACATGTAGAACAAGGTTATGTTACTATCAGTTGACGAAAGTGTTATGAACAGAGCCTTGCAGAAACCTGGCCCTGTATTTCCCCTAAGTCCTAGGGCTTAGGAGCAATGCTTCAGTAGTCACAAAATAGTGTGGAAACTTTACATGACATCACTACCACAAATAATGGGAATAGGCTGATCCTTGGTTCACAAGCAGGTTATAAATGCCTTGAAGAACACCTCGTTCCTCTTTGCTTAACATGTAGTCCATTGCCATTCATTGATATTTTCTAAATGCATCCCTTATTAGCAGAGAATAAACTTGTTTGTTTTCAAATTTATGTGGCCTTTCCTACAGACAGGATCTAATATACCTATATTGTCAAGGAAGTTCAAAGATGACCTAGGTCAAAAGCTAGAATATCCAGGAAAGCTTTTAAGAATAAAAGACAACTACAAGTGTAAAAAAGTGCTTTTTAATTTTTAGCCAGAAGGATCATTAAGTTGATACAATAAACTTTTTTTCCACTGAAATATTAATCATAACGTCATATGTCTTGTATGTCTACTTAATGAGAGTTTTAATGTATGCAAAATTTATAATTCTTGTTCTTTAAAATACATCCATAAAATTATGAATTGATAATAATCCCCCAAACTGAAAGTCAGATACTTTTAATACAATTTGAAATTAAAATACAATTGTTTATACAAAAATGAATAAGGACAAGTTTCCAAGTCAAATATCAAACTTAAAATTCAAAAATAAACGGAAGAAATGTAAACAGTTATATCAACATTTATCAATGTTGCCTGGAGCACGGCTATGCAAAATATGGCCTATGAACTGTTTGTGATTTGTCCAAAATGAAGGAAAGAGCTTGTGTCAGCATGAAAATCAATTATGTCACCAATCACACTGCTTCAGCTGACTTTTTTTCATAACAAGACTTCCTTGATAAAGAAAGCAGTGTCTTGATTTATATTTTGGCACAAGCACCTTATCTCATAGACTGGAGAACAGTTACTGCTTACTTCTTTTAAAGTGCCATTATAATTTCACTGCTCAGAGCAAGGTGAACTTTACTGAGGAAAAATTATTAAAATGACAACTGTAAGTTTTATCTATACATCACCTATTTTAAAAGCTCATCTATCCAGAGATCCTATCCAAAAAACAAATTAAATTGTATAAAATCATCACAATTTAACATTTACTTTCCGAAGTGTTTAAGTGTTACTGACATCTATTCACTCAGAGGGGAACTTTAGATTCCTACTTGAGTGAGATGCCTGATCAGCTTTATATATGTATAAAATATATATTTATTTTAATCTAGGGAGAAAAAAATAAGAGCTGAGTCATTTGCTAATAAGTTCTCTTGAAATAATGATTTCCATATTTCAATCAAAGAATGAATTTTTACATTTTTTCTGCAACCACTGGTTGCTTTTTGACAATAAAAAAATGTTAGGAAAAGAGGCAGGGAAATTTACAACTTCGTGTATTCTATTAACTAATCAGAATCATGTAAACTGTTTTAACATTCCTCAGAGAAAGGGAAAGTTGGTATAAAATGTCTTTTTAAGAACTACCTTTTAATTCAAAATTCAAACAATTCTTTTTAGTTTTTGGTATGGCATAATTCCTCTAAAAATTAAAAAAATATATGGTATTTTAGGAAAGTTATCAACTTCTCATTACCCAATGGCTAAGCTTTACCTGCATTATTTTAACACTGAAGGCAAGTAAATAGACAATTGACAATTTAGAAAAAGTCATCAGTTTTAGATATACAAGAGGTTAATTTAGTTTCAGCAATATCTAGTTTACTTGACCAACAAACTACTTCTTAAGGAATTTAAATGTATATTTATATATCATAAAAAGAGAGCTCCTTTGGCACCTGAGTTGAGCACAATATACTACAGCCAAGAATCTCTAAGAGAAAATTATGTAAAGACTACATTGTATCTATCTACACATATGTACATACACCTGTACATATACACATGTACACACATACACACACGGAAATGACTTTTCCTTAAAAAAGGCTGAAAATGTTAAAAGAATTCATTATTTAGTTAAATAAAGTGACCTGATAAGCATTAAGAACAGTTTTAAGTTATTACTAAAGAATATGGAGTCATGAAAATTTTGAGAAGTTAAAGGTTTCAAAGCACTATACAATTCAAAGGTGAAATAACCAGGTTGATGTGTTTTTGTCAAAATAGTTTCTTCTGATATAGGAACATGGTCATAAGAACACAGACATCTTAACATGATAATATAAGATACTTTTAATGGTTACCAGCAGAAAAAGTCTTCAACGATTACCCCACAAAAGAGTAAATCTTCCCGCCCCCATCAAGCGTGAACACAGTCACTGGGCACTGCTCTCTCTGACTCTGCCTTACGTTCGTCCCAGCAAAACACCACACTGAAAGGCCATTCTGCAGAAGGCCTTATGCTGAGCCCCCTCCTCACTAGGATTTTACCCACCAACTTTAGAAGAGCTTGATGTCATGTTTTATGATCACATCAACCTTGCTACTGGGAGTTCTGGCATTGTGTTAAAAGTCCTACTGGTGCTGTGATTTTTTAAAGTATACCTTTAGAACTCTATACTATACTTTTAGACTGGCCTGTACTCTAAGACATAAAAGACACCTAAAATTTAGTAAGCTGCCTGAGTCTGTCAACATTTCCTTCTAAAACACATTTAATTTTACCTATTACCTTCTACTCTAGAAATTCTGGAGGATGAAAAAATCTCTATATTTGCATACCATCTATTCTCCATCACGCAGACCTTGCTAGATCTGACGATATGTTCAGAATGGGCCGAAGGTATTTAAGTTAAAAATGAAGCCATGCTACACCTTTCTCTGTTCCAACGTATAGAGAATATCCCCGATCAGATTTCTAGTTCCCTCTTTGCTCTGGGTAAAAGGCCTCTCTCATAGGATAGATCATATATAATGGAAGTCTTATGAAGTTTCAAAATGTGCCACTGAAGAACAATTGCAATTATAAAATGTCTCTGGAGTATCTATAAACTTGATACCATTTTACTAAATAAATTATGTCACAGAGGTATTGTATAGGACTCAGAGAACCTTTTAAATTCCAATATCTTCATTTTGTCCAGTTTATACCAACCATACTATAACCTAAATCACTTTTTTTCTGATATAAAAAACATTTCAATAAGTTCACTTGAACTTGAATTCTTTCATTAACAAGTGAACTCACATGTAGAATTTTATGTTTTGTCACATATTTAAATATTTTCTTCTCTGCAGAGCTATCTCAGGATAGGAAATTAAACTAGCAACTAAGTAATTTGGCATTAAAACACTTTCCTAAATTTATCTATGCAAAAGTGCATTTACAATATAAACATGTCATATATGAAGCTACAAACCATAATCTCACACTGGAGTGGATATAAAATTTCAAATTCAGTCCAAATGAATCAAAGAAAGATGTGCTAACAGAGCAAATCTGAAACGAGTTCCTGGGGATTGGGCAAGGAGTCATCGAAGCGGCACCTTTTGGAAACCAAGCTGCCATCCTCTGGGATGTTCTCTTTGTCTTCTCGATCACTGCAGGTTCCATTACAAGAGGATTTGCAAGTTTTGTCTTCAGAGGCCCTGACTGTATGATCGTAAATCTGAGAGGAACTGGAGGTTTCTTCAGGGTGAAACAAGTTCCCAAAGTCCCACTGATGTAGCCAAGAATGAGAAAGGCAGATCTCTGCTGTTGGTCTTTTCCTTTGAGAGAAAGCATCAAGGGAAAATTGAGAACTAAGAATCAACTGGAAAATGTCTTCAGTTGGATAGACTACAGACCAATTTTTTAATTATTATGAAAATAACAGTTATAATTTATCATTCAAACAGAAGAGAATAATAATGATTATAGTAGCTAATATTTTAAAAAACTGAGTGCTTATTATATGCCAGGGACTCTTTTGTATGTTTCAAATATATTATCTAGTAAGTCACAAGAAACCTAGGAAATGGGTACTATTATTGTCCTCATTTAAAAGATACAAGAAAAGCTACTACTAAGAGGCATAGATTTTGCCCCAAATCTCCTAACTTGTAAATGTTACAGTCAAGTGGGGCCTTATGCTTTTAAACATTACACTGTTGTCTCCCATGAAGGTAAACAGTAAAATTATATTCACTATTTTCTCATTCCCTAGCCCACCTCCTGCCATTTTCCCTACATATTTGTGCACGCGCGCGCGCACACACACACACACACGGAGCTTCATATACTCCATATATTTCTGCAATTTGCTTTCTTCACCCACTCAACAATTCAAGTGTCTTTCTACATCTGTACAGAGTTAACATATTCATTAACAGCTGTACTATTTTGTACTCTTCCATATGTTTAGACCGTAATTTATTTAACCTGACCCCCATTTATGTTTCCAGCATTTTTTTTTTTTTTTGAGAGTTTCACTTTGTTAACCCTTGGTAGAGTGGCATGGCATCCTAGCTTACAGCAACCCCAAACTCTTGGGCTCAAGTGATTCTCTTGGGCTCAAGTGATTCTCTTGCCTCAACCTCTCGAGTAGCTGGGAGTACAGGCACCCACCACAGTGCCCGGCTATTTTTAGAGATGAGGTCTTGCTCTTGCTCAGGCTGGTCTCGAACTTGTAAGCTCAGGCAATCCATCTGCCTCCGCCTCTCAGAGTGCTACAATTATAGGCATAAGCCACTGCACCTGGCCTCAGCATTTTAGTATTATAAATAATGCAGAAATGAACACTGAAAAAACTTTTAGGGGGGCAGCCTCTCCTATTATTTCCATAGGGTAAATTACAGGTAATTTTACTGAGCATTTGTATTTTGAAAGATTGTGCTTAACTGCCAGACTAAATAACTTCTATTACTCAATCCTACTAATATCTTCCTCATGATTATGAACAAAATAACGTAAGTTTTCTTACGGCACTTTCATGGTTTTATTTTTTTAGCTTAAATCCTTATTCCATCATAAATTTATATTTGTATAAGAAGAGAGATAAAAATAGCTTTATTTTTTCCAACAAAACTTTTTTTGAAACATAATAGAAAGAATTTTTAGTACACATAACTCTAGTTTCTCTAGTTAGAAATTTTGATTCCAGTTTGCCATTCACTAGAAAACAATGGAAGTCACTTACTTTTGAGATTTCCTTCACTGCAGAAGAAAATATTTGCCTTACTTTCTAGGTAAATGACAGATTTGTTTATCTTAAGAAATAAAACCGATAGGCACACTTACAGCCATGACTCAAGCATAACTGAAACAATCTATGTAACAAAAACATTTGTAACCCCTTAATATTTTAAAATAAAAAAGGTTAAAAAGTGGGCAGCACCTGTGGCTCAAAGGAGTAGGGTGCCGGCCCCATATGCTAGAGGTGGCGGGTTCAAACCCAGCCCTGGGCAAAAACTGAAGGAAAAAAAAAAGTTAAAAAGAATAAATAAAACAACACTGTTCAGTTCAAGTGAAAAATATTCCATAAACACAGCTAGTAAGCAAATATGTTATAATATTGTTTGCTTGAACTATACCTGAAGACAGAATAAATGAAAGAAATCAAGGAAAAGGAAGCTTTTGCATTGCCTCGTTGTCTCCATGTCTGATGCCTGCTTACATGTGAATTCATTTCATATATAAGTGTCCCTTACTTGTGATTACTAAAAGATAAAAAAACAAAGTACCTAGAATTTAATTCTGACATGTGCTAAAAATGCAATTTATCATTGAGCTTATAGATGATAATCTAGTCAAAAAACTTGAGAACACATATTAGCCTAACAAATACAGATCAGTAAAATTATAAAATCTTCTAGATTTACTAGCCCTTGGGAGAAAAATATATCTGAGTAATTTATATTCTTTATCATTCTTTTGTATTCTTAACAATAACTGCTAAATCTTAAAAACAAAGACGAGTCATCAATGTTTACCCAACACTTTGAGTTTTTAAAATGTATTTTCTATAGTCAAATATCATAATTTGGCTGAGTATGGTGGCTCAGATCTATAATCCTAGGACTCTGGGAGGCTAAGGAGTTCCAAAGAGTTCAAGACCAGCCTGAACAGGAAAGTGAGACTCCCTTATCTCAACAAAAAATAGAAAAATTAGTTGGTCATGGTGGCAACATGCCTGTAGTCCCAGCTACTCAGGAGGCAGAGGCAGGAGGATTGCTTGAGGCCAGAAGTTAAGAGGTTTTAGTAAACTTTGATAATAAGCCACTGCCCTCCAGCCAGGGCACAGAGTAAGATTCTGTCTCAAAAGAAAACAAACAAACAACAAAAATAACAAATCATAATTTTTCAAAAGAAAGGGAAACACCTACACTCATAACTCAAACACCTACACTCATAACTCAAACACCTACACTCATAACTCCAAATTTAACCAACCACCATTATCACTTGGATATGTTTCCTTGGTATTATATGTTCAGTTTTTTCTGATTAAAAAATTAATATGCTTATAAATATTTTAGAATCTCAGTAAAAAAAAATTTAAGAATATAAAAATTGCTTATAAATGGAAACTACAGAATTATTACTATTTCTATTAAATAACTATTTATGTCTAAAATACTACCAGTGAGAATTTGTTTGGACTTGCAAGAAGCCAATAAAATAGTTAAGAAACCTATAAATTTATTTTATTTTTTAATTTCAGATTAATCTGAGGGTACAAATGATTAGGTTGCATTATTTGTGTTTTCTTAGGTAAAGTTCAAATTGCAGTTGAGTTCTTCACCTGGGGGGGCGCGTGTGCTGTATACCCTTACCTTGTACACCTTAGGTGAGAGCTTACCAATCACCTTCCTTCCTTCTTTTTAAACTGATAAGGAAACTGAGTCCTCTAGGAGATAAAGTAATTGTCAGATATTAAAGACAGAAAAAGTAAGATAATCAGGATTGTAGCAGAAGGTGCTGCATTACAGCTAGCTTCTATATTATGGGTAGCCAGGCCATTTTAAAGTAAACAGGCCAGGTGGCTCATGCCAGTAATCCTAGCACTCTGGAGGCAGATCAGGTGGGTTGCCTGAGTTCACAGGTTCGAGATCCTGACTCTAAAAATAGCAGGTGTTGCGGTGGGCGCCTGTGGTCCCAGCTACTTGGGAGGCTGAAACAAGAGATTCGCTTGATTCTCCAAGAGTCTGAGGTTGCTGTGAGCTATGACACCACAGGACTCTACAGGGGAAATAAAGTGAGACTTTGTTTCAAAAAAAAAGAGTTGATATTTAGGGAAAAAAGGGTCAGCTTTGCCTTATCTTGTCTTGAGGCTGACAATGAATAGGCAGAGTCCTGAACCAGGGTTTAAACTCCGCTCTTAACAGACTGTCAAAGGACATCTAGCCCCTCAAGATTGTCCAATCAGTAGTTTGTACATACAACTACAAATCACTCATACTGAAATTTTTATCATAATAAACCATCTGTACTGTGACCTTTCTATTTCTAATTATTTTAGAGAATTTCAGGAATGAAAGAGAAATAACCCAACTCTTTCATTTACTCCAAAATCTCCTGCTTTATTTTATATTTGAAGTTATTTATTTGTTAATGATCCTTCATACCATCTCTTTCCCCATTTTACCTGAAACGAGCATCCTTCTAATAATTTAATACTATATTAGAATACATCTTTCTTAACAGACAAATATTAATTAGTTTATAATAGTACTTAAACAAACTAAGGCTATAACTTACTCTGGATTTTTTACTAAAAGGCTCTGGATAAAATCTGTGGCCAGCTGTGAAACTGATGCAAAAGTTTCTTCTGAATAATCTACATTAACTTGAGAAATATTGAGGTATGTTTCTTGATTATCTTCTCCCACAAATGGTGATGTATGAGTTAACAACATATATGCTATTATACCAATATTCCTGAAAAAGATAGAGGAAAGAGGGAACTTAAAATGTATGTTAATTTTAAGACATTTATATAAAGGATAAAGGAGTGACTCTACATATTCCTGTCCTCAAAACTACAAACTACAGATTTAAACTGCTTTTCAAAGTTCCTATAATGTTACTAAAACTAATTGTGTTACCTTAATTGTGTACTATATAGCATTAATATAATACAATACAACACATTAAATATTTATCATTATACCTAAAGTCTCCCCTTCACACAGACACCTTCTGTCAAGCACACGAAGCTGCCACAGTGTTCCCTAACTGGTGTTCAAGGACACAGGAATGATCTATAAGGGGCTCTATGTCAATAGAAGGTGCAATTTTGGCAAAGCACAAAGTTGGGCAAGCAAATTTTTTCACCACAAAATTTTTCACATTTTTAAGTATGTTAATGAAAAGTTTGGCACCTCAAAGCCAGAAAAAACCAACACGGTACATGTTTTGCAAACTTAGTTGGCCAGAGATCTTTTTTTCTGGGCAAACCCATAAATACTTCCATGGAACACAGAGACGACCTATTCCATTCAGCCCATCAGTCAGACCCCTCTGTGGTCCCAACCAAAGCTCCAGTATCAGTTCTGGTTCTGCTCTCCATCATATTCTGTCTGTGCTAGCCATAAAAGATAGTTCCCTAGAGATGTAATCTCATAAAACTCAACTCTCAAGTGGACCTGACCTCATTTTTTTGCTTAGTAGATACCTTCTTCTAGTTTTTCCACACCTACATCAGATGTCTCTCATTGTGAGCTAGAACCTAGCAGTGCCATGTCTGTTGCTTTTTCCATGCCTATTAAGCAGTTCAGAATACCTTTATTACAGAATATGTAGCAGTCTACTGCAATTAGTTTGTTCTCTTACTCAACTGAGTTTTCATCGCAGAAAGGGATTTTTCTACTTATTTTTGTACCTTTGACAAAACCTAATTCTTACTTAAAAAGAATGGACAAGTATTTTCCTGGAGCATAATAATGATACTCAAAATCTTTAGAATAAAGATTATCTATACCTGGAATCAAAACCCCCAGCATATATATTTCCCAACTTTCAATAAAGACATTTGGGTCATGAACAAAATCTTACCACATATCTGCTGCCGTAGTAATGGGATCATAGTTCAGGATTTCTGGAGCTGAATGAGAAAATAAAATTCAAATTCGATACTTACAAATTTCCAAACATGAAATTAATTTATATTAAATTACAACTGAATTTAATTTTGGAAAGCCTAATGATATAAGATCAACAGAAATTGAGCATACTATTAATTATCTTGTAGTTAGATGCTGAAACAGCTCGAACATTGACCAAATTATATTATCAGATGGTTCAAAAGCACTAATAATATTCTTGAACTGGTAGCTATATTAAAAAAACCCAACTCATTAAGATTAATTCCAAATAAGACTTTAATGAAGAAGTAAAATGTCAGAAGCTAGAATCTTTTTAAAATTTTAGTTTAAATTATTTTATTGAGAATTAATTTGTATTACTTTATTAGACTGATTTAAAATTTTCTTTAGGGTCAACAGGATCATGTACACCTGCAATGACATTATGAACAAATCATGATTCTTGAAAATGCTAGATTTTTAAGTAAGTTAAATATTCCTCTGAAACTATTAAAAACCTCATTTCCTAAGCAACTAATCTTCTACTATCTCTTCCTTTGCCAAAAAAGTACAAAATAATTCTCTATACTTCTAAACATTACCATATATTTCAAATTAATAAAGGCCAAACTAGGATTTATGATTGAAAAATAACTTTCTTATTTTACAATATGGCTTCATAATTTCTCTATAGGAAAACTGTTTCTTGGTTGGGTGCAGTGGCTCACACCTGTATCCTAGCATTCTGGGATGCTGAAGTGGGCAGATTGCCTGAGATCACAGGTTTAAGACCAGCCTGAGCCAGAGCAAGACTTCATCTCTTCAAAAAAAAAAAAAAAAAAAATAGCTGGGCATTGTGGCCAGCGCCTGTAGTCCCAGCTACTTGGGAGGCTGAGGCAAGAGAATTGCTTGAGCCCAAGAGTTTGAGGTTGCTGTGAGCCATGACGCCATGGCACTCTATCAGGGGTGACAAAGTAAGACTCTTGTCTCAAAATTAAAAAAAAGAAAGAAAGAAAAGAAAAACTGTTTCTTAAAGCCTAACATCTTTGTTAAATAAAGCCTTTGAGTCATATATATCGTCAGCTTCCATTTAACCACCTACAACCTTTCACACACTTCTTTGAGCTACATTATCAACAACTACATTTATTCTAGGCTACAACAGCCTCTGTTAGTACTTTGAGTTACTAATTGACTTTGTCTTTTCTCTACTGGGAATGAGAGCTGCCTTGCTGAGTGGCACCTGTACTGTTTAACTGCATTTTTCAATGCCCTCACGGGGATATCAATATAAGCAACTACAAAAACTATAAAAAGAATATTACTATACAATATATATACATTAAAATACTTTAAATTTATATGCTGCTTTGCACAGCTTATAACCTTTCAATGCATGATCTGATTTACTGACTTTGTACAATATGCCTAGAATCATAGGTTGTTTCTGGCACCCTTCTTCAAAACCCTTCCTTCACAACCCTGTGCAAAACCTCATACTAATATTTTAAGCAGTAGCAAGAAACAAAAATGAGTTATCCTGCTAAAAATCCCTGTAAAACTGAAGATACTGTATCATAAACAGCTACAGAGTTGGGACCAGAGAGAAACAGAAATTAGATCTACTCAATAAATACTGTTACATTCACTACAGCTCATTTAAATGTGTCATAACCAAGTTTCAATGCATTAAAATACTCACAGTAACTTAATCCTGGAATTACATGCTCTAAAATACATATTTTTATAGAGGTATCCTTTACTTAATAAACTTCAAAACGGTATGAAAAATACAAGGAAATTCTTACCTAAGTATTCTGGTGTTCCCATGATTTCCCGAAGTTCACATGCATTCCCTATTTTTCGAGACATTCCAAAATCTACAATTTTTACGTCTCCAAGAGGATATATGCTGCTCAATAATATATTCTGTGGCTAAAGAAAGCACAACAAGAAAGTGATAAGTAATACACAATAAAAGAACACCAGTCTCGGAATGCAGGAAAATTCCATGGAATTTATTGCATACTTTTCATTTCATTGAGTCATTCATCAAACATTTACTGATTCACTACTTGTGAGGAGCTATCACTCAGTGATGCATACGGTCAAAAATACACTTAAAAAGGAGTCTAGGTTTGGAAGAAAAGTCAGTCAGACAGATAGATAGATTGATTATGAGATACAGACAATCCAGAAGCAAAGATAAGACTAAGATAAGACTGCCCGTAAGAAATTCAGAAGGCTTTTTTTAGCACAGACGATGCTTTAGCTGAGTCTAAAAGGATGACAGAGAGTATGCTGGTTAGAAAGGTACTCTGAGAAACAGAACAGAGGAAGGCATGAAGGAATGAACATGCATAGAATTCCAGAAACACAAAATGGTACAGTACGGTGTGATGGTTCTGGGTATGACTGTTCCCAGGTTTTATCTTAGACAATAAGATGCATGGTATATCTCATCCACTGTCTCCTAGAACTGTGTGACTATGCTATACTATTGCAGGCCTAAAGCCTGATACAAGGTTCTGCTGCCTATACACCTTCCCAGTGTGCTGCTCCCAATGTCTGTGCAAAGGATTATAATTGTCTCTCTTTTTATTTTTTTTAAACAGTCTTACTCTGTCACTCTAGCTATGGTACAGTTGCATCATAGCTCACTACAACCTCGAAAGCCTGGCAAACAATCCTCTTGCCTCAACCTTTCGAGTAGCTGGGATGTATGTATAGACATGTGCCACCATGTCCAGCTAATTTCTCTATTTTCTGTAGTGATGGGGGTCTTTCTTCCCTGCTCAGGTTGGTCTTGAACTCCTGAGTTCAAGAGATCCTTCACCTCAACCTCCCATAGTGCTAGGATTACAGGCATGAGCCACTGCATCTACCTCAAAATAACACATAGTCCTTTTACTTTGGGAAAATCTTATGCTTCTTTACTATTAAAGCACAGATATCATTACAGAAGAAAAGATAAGAGTTAAAAAGCCAGATTTACATACTAGCCTGACTTCAATAGCTGCATGATGCTACATAATGCCTTTGGATTGTCTTTAGCAGGAGAAAGATCCAAGAGGAAGCTAATGGGAGCATGAGTCTCTTGGTGTTTACTATGTTGCTTATTTTCCCATACCTTGTCAATAAGGGAAACTGCAGAAATGTTACATGGTAAATATTGCTCCCCCACAGGAGGCCCCAATATAAAAGTACAGATTTTTTTTTTCTTTTATAAAAGCAATCAGAGGAGTTAGAAATTAGGAAAGAGGTCCAGGCTATGGATGGAGATTTTGGAATTATTATTATGAAAGTGGTAGTGGAAGCCAAAGGATCATGCAGGGAAACTACATAGGAAGAGTAGACTCCAGCATTTAAAAACCAAGAGACAGACTGATTTAGACTTTAAGGTCCTTTGGATGGCTGGAAAGGAAGAAAAAGGAAAAAGGATAAGAGAGGCTGGGGTTTTAGAAATTGGGTAGGGAGCCTGAATGATCTGGAAGAAGCCAAAAGACTAAAAGTTTCAAGACAAAAATGAACGAGAATAATGGGAGCAAAGGAATGAGGATTACAGGGAGCTTATCTTCAGTGATGGGGACTGTAACTGAGTGTTTCAAGGATAGACAGCTTTATAGGTAAAAAGGTCCAGAATGTGACTCTAAGGGTGGGAGGAGTGGAATGATTGCAGGATTAAAACATATGGAATGATGCATTTTAAGAACCCAGCAATTAATTTGAGCTGTTTACATATGGTAGTTCTCTCCTATCTGCCAATAGAAAATTAAGGTCACGTAGCATGTGGGTAAGCAAAGAGCACACCCAGTGCAGTCTAGATGACCATGATTTGTTGTTTCTTGTCAATACCAGTTACAGCTGCACATACTAAGAGTACAGAAAGGACACAGATATTGTGTTAATTTAAATCACATGGTACATTACCTTTAAATCAAGGTGGACGATGTTATTCTGATGTAGATAATAAACTCCTTCAAGTATCTGTTTAATAAGTCTGATAACATCATTTTCAGAAACCATTTCAGCCAACTCAGGTAAACACAGGTTGAAAATTTCTCCACCTGCAGCACTTAAAGAAAATTCAAAGAAGAAAAACTTGAAATATCATTCACCTAAAAATGAAAACTTTTTAATACTGTATATCTGTTAAGTAAAAGACACATAGCATCTACGCATACATATAGTATGTCCTTAGGGCAGGGGAGAGATGGGTTTTTAAAGAAGAAAATAAATGATTAGACTATTTTAAATTCTGGGTACTAATACTTACATATTTAATAAATAAAATTGAATTGCATTATAATCCAATGTTGTTGTAGTCTGCTGTAATGCTGCAATAAAAATAATAAAAATAGCAGCTACCACTTGGTGCTCTGCTCTGTTCCATACCTATATATATGTGCATATATGTGTATGAATATCATCTATTTTGAACCTGACAAACAAGTGAGGTAGGTGGTTATTACTTTGATTTTACAGATGAAGAAACAAGTACAATTAGGTTAAACAATTTGTAAAAGGTCATATTGTAAATAATCATAAAGCATTCCAAAATGAAGGCCAGGTACTATGGTCACACCTGTTAATCCTAGTACTCTGGGAGGCTGAGATGGGAGGATTCCTTGAACTCAGGAATTTGAGACCAGCCTGAGCAACAGGGAGACCCCATCTCTTCTAAAAATAGAAAAATCAGCTGGGCATTGTGGTGGGAGCCTGTACTTCCAGCTACTCAAGAGACCAAAGCAGGAGGATTGTTTGATCTCAGGAGTTTGAAGTTGCTGTGAGGTAGGCTGACACCATGGCATTCTATCCTTGGTAGAAATGGAAATTGAGTGAAAATTCAACAATGAATTGTTTTGTTTCGTTTTTGTTTTGTTTTTTAGAGACAGAGTTTTGCTCTGTTGTCCTAGGTAGACTGCAATGGCATCATCATAGCGCACTGCAACTTCAGGCTCCTGGGCTCAGGCGATTCTCCTGCCTCAGCCTTAGAGTAGCTGGGACAACAGGTATATGCCATGATGCCCAGTTAATTGGATTTTTTTGTTCATGCTGATCTTGAACTCATGAGCTCAAGCAATCCTCATGCTTCAGCCTCCGGAGAGTGCTGGGATTACAGGCATGAACCACTGTACCCGTCCTAAGGATGAGTTTCTTACCTAAACACTTTATGTTGCTGTACACAGGAAGAATTCAGATCTATTTTAGATTTAAAAAAAGGCTAATCTCTAAAATTTTCTTCCTATACTTGAGTTTGGAGTTCACTACTATAAACATAGTAGCAAACTAAATTTTTCGATACTCAAATTGTCTTTACCATGCTTCCCTGAAGAAGATATTACAGTTAATTTCTCATGACTTTATAGGGCGTTTTGGTGGGCAGGGTAGGACTGAAGCAACATTGGAGCTTATACGTGTATTCCTTCTCAGTGGTCCTTGGAGCTTTTGCTGCAGTGTCATAAACAAAGTGGAAAATAGCAACTCCCTGTGACTTCGGTCTGGCCCGCTGTGCACAGTGCCTTGATTGCAAGTTAACAGTGTTTGCATTCATTTGTTGATGTGTTTGTATGTGTGTTATGTGGGAATGTATGTGACAACAGTACTTTAGTGTGGGTTACACTGTCATGTAAACATACGTGCCATCCACTGGCTACATCTACATCAGCCTTTTATAGCTTTCTGAAGCAGTTTAAAAATTAGTAGGTAATAGGGAAGCTGAGACTATCTTTTAGAAAGACTCTTACAACATAACAAAAATAAAGTTAACATAAAAGATTAAAATCAGAATATTTTCCTGTCCAAAATGATGAATTTCTGTGGGTACCAGACTCAAGATTTTCAGTAAAACAAAGTAATATCTCAATTACCCCCAAATTATAAATTTAGTCATACAGCTTTGGAAAGCCATGGCAAAGATTTTTAAAATGAGCATGTATTTCTAGTGGCTCAAATGAAATAGTTTGTAATTTTTATATTGAGTCTCTTTTAAAATTATATTCCTATGCAAATAAGGAAAACAGAGCCCAGGGAATTTTATTCTGGAAAGAAACTACACAGAGTATTAACTAGCACATGTGACACGAATACCAACCTCTCCTTTTGGAAATTTGTTTTAAAAATTACATGAGAATACAGATAATGCACTCATCACAGTGCCTGCCACACAGCAAATGCTCAACATACATTACTGCTGAAATTGCTAAGATGATATAAAATGTTTTGCTCTGGTGATTAAGTGAGATCATTCCAGAAAATAAGTCTTTCTATTTTGCATGTTTTTGTTATGGACTCCATCATTTTCTGTTGGATTTATAATCGGTATTTATAAATACCGATTTATAAAAGGTATTAAGTAAAATACCTTTACTTAAAGGTATTTAATAAACACAATTTATAATTTCTTGACAATGGAAAAGCATTATTTCTTTTTCTCTTCTAAATAATTGCAGACTGTGGCTAGTGAATATTAGCCAGTTCCCCTTCTGATCGTCACTATTTCCAGAACAAAGATTTTGTGCTATGTTCTCAAAACAATAATAAGTGTTCTTTATAATCAATTTTAGTTGGCTCAAAATTCATCACTAAAAACTTAATATGTCCAATTAGATAACACCTTCCTTATAGAAGCTTAAAAAAATCTTTGTATATAATTTATTTAAATACACTTTTAAAACAGCCTCATAGAGAGTCAGGATGGGATGACTCAAGTATGTCAAATTTCTCCTCCAATTTAGAAACATACCTAATATTACCTTCCAGAAAAATAGCATGTATATTACTTTTCAAAGAAATAATCAAAGAAAGAACTAAAAAAAATTTAGAGTTTCTACTCAGCAGCAAAATACTTTCCTGTGAACTAAATATTAAGATAAAAAGAGAGATTTAATAATTGTTTAAAATTGACAAGCCGAGGGCAAGAAATTACAATTAATTCACAAAAGTAAACAACATAATTTGGTTCAAAAAATAGGTTTACATTAAGTGAAGGCAAAACAAAACACAAAAGCAAAAAGAAAGCAGATCTCTCAGATCTGTCGTAGATCCAAAAGTAGCTGCAGTAGTCCCAAAAGAAAGGTGTAAATAGATTTGTATAATTAGCAATGTAATAATTTCAAGAAAGTGCCTTTTTTAAAGTGACTGTGTCATTCATATGGAAGGAAATTTGACATCTAATTCAATTGCATATGCGTTTACTCTTTGACTCAGCAATCATATCTCTAGGAATTTACCCTAGAGCTAACCTCCACACATAAGGCTTCTCCATGCAAGCCTGACTGAATAAAGCACAGTCCAACCACACAATGAAGTACTATGCAGACATTTTTTTAAAAAGCCATGATGATAATTGCAAGAAAGATGCCTATGAACTAATATAGAATTATTTCTGCAATATAATGATAAGTAAACGAAAAGGCAAGGGAAAAAGGAATACATATAATAGGCTACTTTAAGCAAGAAAGGGAAATATATACAAATTTGCTTATATTTGCAAAAAGAAACACATAAACCATGAACCAGAAATGAATAAACATGGTTACCTATAAATGTTTGTGGGGAAAGAGTAGAGAGAATAGGAATGGGAGCAAGATTTTGCAGTATAATGTATGTATCTTTATATATCTTTGAGTTTTGAATCATGCAATCCTTTTTTTTTACCATTTCAAAATAATAAATGAAAAAGGATTTAAAAAATCAAATCCTAACACTGAATATAAACAGAAACAAATGCATATATTAATATATAATTCTGAACAAATACCCTTAATAAACTTGAACTGGAGAGATAAAAGTAAATGGATTTGTTACCACTGTTCTTAGAAAAGGCCCAGAAATAATAGTATTCCATTAAAAATGGGCATGTTCAACACTTGTATCTTGATTTCTAAATCCCACTCCCCGCTTCTTAAGAGATGGCTAATTGCAGGTCTGGGCTGGGAAGAAACAAGATGAACAAGATGAATCTTGGTGTGCATAAAGCAAGGATGCTCTCAAATACTGAAGACATCATATCAAAAGGACACAGGAAATAGCTTGAACTGATCAACTTAGGACCATTTGATCACGAAAAAAATAGTGGCAGAAACATTATAACCCACTAATTAAAACACAATAGATTATTTTAAATTAATGTCATTTGTTACTTTAATTAACAAAATCATGAATAGTGACAGGGACAAAAGCCCTTCTTTATAGAAGAATCTGGTTTAATAAATTTAGAAGGAAAAACAGAAATCACCATTTTCTGATATCCATTATAACAACTAATTCAAACAAGTATATCAATGGTTACTGAAATCACTGACTGAAACGTAAAATATTCACATAGATTAATAATCACTACACAGATTATTTATGAATTACAAAGGAAAAATATTCCTTTACAATAGAGAAGCTGGCAAACTAGACCTTAACCATGGTCAAATTTAACAAAACCAATGATGAAACAACCTGATGTCACTGCTACCTGATGTGACTTGATAAACAAACATCATTACCTGTACTGTCCTCTCACCCAAAAGTGTTTAACTTAAATCTAATCATTCAGAAACAATCAGATAAATCCAAAATGTAGGATATTCCATGTGACAAGAAATTTGTCACATTGAAACATTTTTTTTTGCTGTTTTTGGCCGGGGCTGGGTTTGAACCCACCACGTCTGGCATATGGGGCCGGTGCCCTACTCCTTGAGCCACAGGCACCTCCCAAAATCATTTTTGATTATACAGAATAATGATCTTATCCTATGGAATAAATATTTCAGCATGGAAAGGAGAAATATCATAATACTTATAACTTTCCAATGCTTCAGCAAATGTGCCAAAAGGTTAACAACTGGTGAACCAAAGTGAAGAGTACAAGGCTGTTAATTGTACTATTTTTTTTCAACCTTTCTGTGGACTTGAAATTTTATAAAATAAAAAAAAGGAGAGAAGAAAAAATGAGTATGGATGGTTTGAGGAAGGAATCAAACTGTTAACAGTTATTAAAGATCCCACTATTTTCACCATCCAAAAATTATGCCACCTTAAAAACAAGTAAACCTGTCTGACCAAACTTCTTCCCTCAGCTGAGACTACAGAATGTGACAATGCCATCCCCAAACTGGTGTAGACACAGTAATTAAGCAATAAATTAATAGGTCTTAGCTGCTCTGGTAAGAAATTAATATATTAATCTACACAAACATGTGATGGATGCTTGCTACATTTCGGCCAGAGGTACAGAGATCAGTAACAGTTCTGCCAGTACACTGGGTAAGGTACCTGATCAACTTTTCAGAGTAGGAACAAGGTCCATCCATAAAATGTTTCAAAACTATCTGATGTATTTTGTTCTGCTGTTTAGATATCGCCTAAAAAGATATTATGAAAGTAGTCAAAGTTCTTATGTATATTCACCCTCTAAACCTAGTATTCCATTACTGTTTTTGAAAAATGTTAGCTACTTGCACACACTTCAAACACGCAAATGTCACACCAATAACTTTTTAAAAGTCAGCAGAAGAATCTCTGACAAAATTAATCACAAATGTATGAACAATGAAATCAGACTGGTAGCATCCTGGCCTTTTCTGAAATTCTAACTTATTTTGAAGTTTCTATATAATAAAACAGCCCTTATTATGGTGTTATCTTGGTGTTCTGAGATATATTTTAACACTATACATTTTTAAATGAACTACCTATCAGTTTAATGTTTTGTAACATCAGCATTTTCATCTACAAGTTGATTCCGGGCAATTTCTCCTGCCACAAAACATTGATTTTTTTTTAATAAATATAACTGAATACTAATATAAGGCTAATACATGTAGACTTTTAAATTCAAAGAGACAATGAAGTAGGTTAGCTACTAAAAAGAATTACCATAGTTATCAATACATTTTTTACCAAAATAAATACTTACCTCTTTACTATACTATAAAGTAGGCTTATTTAAAACTATCAGGACCTAAAACATATTAAACATAAATTCACTTGATCTCTTCCAATTGTTGAAGATGTTCAGACACACATTTTAGATACTTGTAATAACGTGCGAGGTGATCATGCAACTGAGGTGCTATTTAAGAGTCACATGTCAATATACCGGTTAACAAACCAGTTACCTTAACTATCTCTATCCCCACTACCTGGTGAATTGTAGAATATATGGGTATTTTCAGTTTTTCACTGACGTGTGACAAGCGATATGTTCTATTTCTTATGTTATAATTCCTAACATACTGTTTTGCACATCACACATACTAAAATGTGTTTATTTAATAATGCACTAGGTATACCTTTATGCAGTTTACTTTTACATTCTCCTTGGATTATTTCCTTAGAGGTAGTTTTCACATAGATGGACAAAACATAAATGAGATGACTTCTAGTTGCCCATCAGATTGTTCTCTAGAAAAACTCAATTAGCCATTTAAAAAAAATAAAAGCATATTCATTTCACCACATTCCCCAAACACTGTGCTGTCATTTGCTTATTTTATGCTATTAATTGGTTCTTGTCTATGTGAGGATGTACATTTAGCCTTGCGAAAATATTTCAATAAAACTATTATCCCTCTAATATTTTATCAATAGGAATCTTCAAAAGTTCTTGTCATACTTTTATCATTCTCACTCTTGACCTTTCAAGTGACCTTATCATACCAATTAAAATAGGTACCATAAATTTACTTAAACTTACTTAAGTGTATACTTACTATTCCAATATCAAAATGATTTCACTTGCATTTTCATAGACCTCATGAAGATCAATAACTCGGGGACAAGACTTGGCCAATTCAAGCACAGCAAT